TGCCTCAGCCTCCCAAGTAGCTGGGACTACTGGCACTCATCACCACGGCCGACTCATTTTTAATTTTTTTTTTTTTTTTTTGTAGAGACAAGATCTCGCTATGCTGGCCAGGCTGGTCTTGAACTCCTGGGCTCAAGCATTCTTCCTGCCTCAGCCTCCCAAAGTGCTGGGATTATAGGCATGAGTCACTAAGCCCTGCCAACAAGCGATTTTTTGAAAGTCAAAAATACCTACTGTGAACTAAATTTACTACTTGAGCATGGTTAGATTAGGTGCCTAGAAACTTTAGTTCCTATCTCTTAGTATGTGTGATATTCAAAACTTCAAGCTATCAGACTCCAATGATTTTCATCTGCTTTCTTTTGTGCCCCCAATTTCTGCACACAATGATGTTAAATATTTCTTAGAACTTTGCTACTTAAAGAGCAATTCATGGGCCAACAGCAGCAGCATTTTCTTATTAGAAATGCAGAATCTTAGCCTGCTTCAGTAAAATCCCCTGGTGATTCATATGCACATTAAAATTTGAGATCCTTGGATGTCCCTTTCAAAACTATATCTCGGGCTACAGTGTTCTATAAGAATTTGCTTACTGTTTCCTTTTTTTTTTGAGTTAGGGCCATGGGGTCTTGCTATGTTGTCCCAGAGTACAGTGGCTATTCATAGGCCTGATTATAGAGTGATAAAGCCTCAAACTTGTGGTCTCAAGTGATCCTCTGTCTCAACCTCCAAGAAACTGGGACTACAGGTGCACATGCCACGGTGCTGGCTACTGTTTATTATTTTTAATGATACTTTTACACCTATTGATAAAATATGCATCACCAATGTCCAATTTAGGTATACGTATCTCTTCTTCACTTCCCGAAACTGTTTATAGATTGTTACAGAAATCAAACTGTTTCCAGAAACTCCTCCAAATCCAGAAAGCTACTGGGGGTTAGTAATTGTTTCTTAACCATGTCTGTATCAGTGTAGCAATATGGTGAGAATATAGGTTTGGGAGACTCAGAGACCAGCACAGAAATCTTAGACCTGCTACCTAAGCTGTGGGTGACCTCAGGGAAGTAATTTAAACCTCTCTAAGCCCATTTCCTCATTTCAAAAGGAAAACGACAGTACATAGACTTCTGAGCATTCTAGAACATACAGTACAAATCAATTTAAGCAGATGAGTAGACCCTCAGGGTTACTTCTGGCTCCTCTGAAGTATAGAGTCTTTGCCCATGGTAGAAGTTCTTATATATGCGGTGTTAACTATGATTTTTTTTTTTTAAACTGCCCACTGGTAAGCTATTCAGTAGAATTATCTCAGTTTTAGAAAACATTTACAACAAGAAGCTTACTGATACTAAAAGCTTAGTCCTGGTTTACAATCCCTTTTGGAAAGGGCTGTTGCTCTTAGTGGAATGCTAACATTTTGGAGCTAATAGGTTGTTCTCTTCATGGCAGTTTTTCTTTGAATTTAAAAAGGGGTTTGATACATTCTTTAGCATAAACATGATATACTATAGGAGATATATTGGATGTAATTTCTTGCCATAAACTTCTAACACGCTCCAATGAAGTCACAGTCTGCTTCCTTCAGCGGAATCCACACCCTCCCCACAAGAACCCCATGGAAACGTTTCTTCTCCTTTTCTTTTAAGTAGGAACCGAAACACACCACTGTTCCACCCACCTGCGATGACTGCGACTGCACTAATGGAATCTTCCAAGCCTGCCAGTACCCAGTGAACACCTCCGATACAAGAGACTCAGAAAGAAGGCATTTTTGCCTAAAAACCCTTTGGACGTGACTTTTAAAAGAGAGCCAGTAACGTATGCCTTTATTACTATTATTACTATAATTATTATTCTGTCCAACTGCTTCTACCTGGAGACGCATTATTTTATTTTATTTTTTATTTTTGAGTAGGAGTCTCACTCTGTCGCCCAGGCTGGAGGGCGTTGGCACACTCACAGCCACGCCAGCAGCAACCCGCTGGGCTCCGGCAATCCTTCTGCTTCAACCTTCCAAGTAGCTGGAACTACAGGTGCGCGCTACCACGTCCGGCTCATTTTTGATTTATTGTAGAGATGAGGTCTCGCCAATTTGCCAGGGCCAGTCTCGAACCCTCGGGCCCAAGCAAACCACTCGCTTCGGCCTCCCAAAGTGCTGGGATGACAGACTGAGCCACCCAGCCCGGGCGAGACGCATTATTTTCATATCAGCTGGCAGAATTTTCCTTGTGCAAGCTAAACTCGGAGATCTTTTAAACACCCGCAGATCTATAGAACCTGGCACGCAGGACTTGGCCGCAGCTGCTGCTACCTGGTAAAGAGTAGGGCCAAGACTCGTTTGGGAAGAGGATGTCGCCCACGTCCAGGCTGTCAAATCGACCTCACTCTCGGCCCGGCATGGCACATAGCCATGGGCGGCGACCCTCGTCTCTAAGATTCGTGGACGGCGACGGATGGTCTGGTACCATTGCTTACAGGCGTCTTCTTTCGCGCACCCCGACGAAGCAGCAGCGGCGGCCGCAACCGGGCCCTCGCGTTCACTGAGTCCCGCCGCCGGGGCCGCCGGGTGTGCGCCCTCGCTCGGTCCCCACCGCACGCCTGTGCGCCCTCGGTCCCCACCAGGCGCGTGTGCGCCCTCCCCCGGTCGCCGCCGAGGCCACGCGGTGTGCGCCCTCCCTCGGTCCCCACCACGCGGGTGTGTGCCCTCGCCCGGTCGCCGCGGGGCCACGCGGGTGTGCGCCCTCCCTCGGTCCCCGCCGCGCGGGTGTGCACCCTCCCCCGGTCGCCGCCAGGGCCACTTGGGTGTGCGCCCTCCCTCGGTCCCCACCACGCGGGTGTGTGACCTCGCCCGGTCGCCGCGGGGCCACTTGGGTGTGCGCCCTCCCTCGGTCCCCACCACGCGGGTGTGCACCCTCGCCCGGTCGCCGCCAGGGCCACTTGGGTGTGCGCCCTCCCTCGGTCCCCACCACGCGGGTGTGTGACCTCGCCCGGTCGCCGCGGGGCCACGCGGGTGTGCGCCCTCCCTCGGTCCCCGCCGCGCGGGTGTGCGCCTTCCCTCGGTCGCCACCGGGGCCACGGGGACCCACTCCGCACCAGCGGCCGCTCGAGCTTCCCGACCCGAGCGCTGGGCGATTGGTTTTTCTTTTGGCGCTTTTGCCATCTCCGAAACGTGACCCTTGTCTCAGACTTCCGCGATCGCGCAGTTTATCATAAACGCCAGCATGAATGCCTGGGTCAAAATGCCCTTGTCAGTTTAGCGGGAAGTCCTGGAGGGTCAGGACTGTGTCTTTCTCGTCCCGCTGAACACAGGACCCCACTCTCTGCTGGGCGCTCGGGGTTTCCCAGACCAAACAAAACAGAAATGGGCTGGGCTCGGGGGCTCAGCCTGTAACCCCAGCACTTTGGGAGGGCGAGGTTTGTGGATTGCCTGAGCCCGCGGGTTCGAGACCCGCCTGGGCAACTAGGCGAGACCTCGTCTCTACAATAAATAAAAAATTAGCCGGGCCTGGTAGCGCGCACCTGGAGTTCTGGCTCCTCGGAAGGCTGAGGACGACGCTGGGGTGGCCGTGCGTGTGCCGCGGCACTCCCGCCTGGGCGACGGAGTGAGACTCCGACTCAAAAAACAAGACAAAACAGAAGCGACTCGAGCAATCGACAGAGAGATGGACGTAGAAACAAGAAATGAGCGCATGCGAGAACGAAGGAGCGGATGAAATCGGAAAAGGAGCGGCGCACGGCAGGAGCCGCGGAGCGCAGCGAGTGCGGGTCCGGCGCCCGGGGGCG